AAAAAACCCAAGCCGGTAAGATGGCACAGCAGGTAAAGGCACCTGCCGCTAGTTCTGACAGCCCAGGTTCAGTTCTTAGAAGCCATGTGGCACGTTATTCTCTGACTTCCACACATGCATCAGCACACAAGTGTGTGTGTGTGTAAATACATGCATACATACATGCAGAAATGTAATTTTTTAAAAAAAGACTAAACAAAAATTTCATGACTTTGAAATATGCAAACTCCCCCCCCCACACACATTTTTTTAAGATAGGATTTCTCTGTATAGCCTTGGCTATTCTGGAGCTTTTCTATAGACCAAGCTGACCTCGAACCCAAAGATCTGCCTACCTCTGCCTCCTAAATGCTGGGGCTAAAGGGGTGTACCACCATCACTTGGAACGAACATTTCTTTTTTTTTTTTTAACATTTTATTTATTATGTATACAACGTTCTACTTCCATGTATGCCTGCAGGCCAGAAGAGGGCGCCAGATCTCATTACAGATGGTTGTGAGCAACCATGTGGTTGCTGGGAATTGAACTCAGGTCCTCTGGAAGAACAGCCAGTGCTCTTAACTACTGAGCCATCTCTCCAGCCCTGGAACGAACATTTCTTAAGACATAAAAAGCATAAAACCTGAAGACAGAATATACTGGATTTCATTAAAGCTAATGTCTGCTCAGTGAAACGCGTCCTTGTGAGATGCCATGCAGGTGCTGGGAAGAGCGGCAGGCACTTGTAACTACTAAACCATCTCTCAGCCCACAGCAGAAGATGAGTCTTGTTGTTTGAGACAGGGTTTCTCTGTTTAACAGTCCTAAATGTCCTGGAACTCACACTGCGGATCAAGCTGGCCCAGAACTTTTCAAAGATCCTCTTTCCTCTGCCTCCCAAATCCTGGGATTAAAGTCCCCACTGGCCTGGCATTCAATTAACCTTAAAAATATGACACATGCCGGGCAGTGGTGGCAAATGCCTTCAATCCCAGCACTTGGAAGACCAAAGTAGGTGAATCTCTGTGTTCGAGGCCACCCTGGTCTACAAAGTGAGTTCCAGGACAGCCAGGACTGTTGTTACATAGAGAAACCCTGTCTTGAAAAACAAACAAACAACAACAACAACAAAAATGACACATACAACCCCCCCCCCCCAGACAGGGTTTCTCTGTGGCTTTGGAGCCTCTCCTGGAACTCACTCTGTAGACCATGCTGGTCTGGGACTCACAGAGAACTGCCTATCTCTGCCTCCTGAGTGCTGGATTAAAGGTTGGAGCCAGGGCTGGAGAGATGGCTCATTGGTTAAGAGCATTGCCTGCACTTCTGGAGGTCCTGAGTTCAATTCCCAGCGACCACATGGTGGCTCACAACCATCTGTAATGG